GCGGGGGGTGGTAGATTAAAAAAGTGGACACAATTCCTTTTCTCAGTGAGTTATACGTTTTAGTGTGAATCAGTCTTCCTTGAATTAATTTTCGGGCTGGGGGAATCTCCCAGTTGGAAAGATTACTGAGAGTCTCTTTGCCCTGTGGTTTTGGGCCAAGCTTTTCAGAGCTGTGGAAGGGTCCATGAGGGCATCTCAGGCCTCCATGAGGAAAGCGGGGGCTGAGAGGGATACAGGCCCTCTGGTCTTCTACCCATCAGAGCATGTAGTTTTGTCAACTTTATATATTTAGGCTCCAAACAGGACTTTTATTCCTCTCTCCCTTCTTTTCTTCCTTTTTATTTTGGGAGGAAGGGTCAGGGACAGAAAGTAGTTTCTTCTAAAATACCTAGGAAATTCTAAACTAATTCCATATTGGAAGCTCAAAACCTGCTTATTCCTATAAATAGTTTCCTATCTCCTACTCACCTGCCCCCTGCAGTGGTGAGCTCACTCCTCCCATTTCCATGTTGGTGGCTCTGGCAGGAGGTAAAATCTGCTTTCTAAGGTATTTCCAGGTTCTAGTGCCATTCCATGGCCTAACCAGAGTGATGGTTTTGCTCCCTTCCATGGAGGGCTGCCTCGGAGTGCCCAGAGGGGCCTCGCCACTCAGTGCTCCTTGCCCTGTGGGCCTGGGATTAGATGCAGAAGCTCAGGCCTGCCCTCACCTTCCTTTTCCTTGCCTCTCACAGGCCCTGCCCTTCTCACATCTTATCCTGGCCACAGGCAGCACTGGGCTCTTCCCCGGCAAGTTGAATCAAGTTTGCAGCCAGCAGGAAGCCATTCAGGCCTACGAGAACATGGTGAAGCAGGTGAGCTGCCCTGTAACCAGAGGCAGAGCAGTGAGGGAAGAGGGTGGCCTCTGGAAGAGCAGAACAGCCGTGGAGATTTAGGGCTGCAGCAGGGAGACCCCAGGGGGTATTTGGGGCTGTGACAGTGGTTGTAAAGATGGAGAGTTATTAGAAAGAGATTCCTGGGAGGAGACCTTTAGATCTGTTATCAAAGCCTGTACATGAGCAACGAGACCTGCTCACATATCTCTTGGCGTGTCCCTGACTCCTCTCTTGGAGCTTCCAATTGCACAGGCCTTGTGGCTTATAGAGCAGGCTTGGATCCATGACCTCAGTCAGCTTTCACAGCGATCCTGAGAGGTGGACAGGATGAGTCTATCTATATTGAAGTGGAGACCCTGAGAGGGATCCCAAGGTCAGTGCTGCCACATGAGTAAGGCCAGGTCTTTTCCTCTCTGCAAAACATCTGAGAAGCCTGGGGAGAGCAGACAGGGTAGAGGGTAGGAAACAGGCTTTGAAGTCAGACCTGGGCCATCCATGGTCCTGGGAAAGGAGGGCAGGTAGTGATACTTGCCTCTTGGGGCAGTTGTGAGAATTGAGTAAGAAAATGTGGGGAGACTCTCAGCAAGTGCCTGGCCCTGAAAAAGTACATTTAGACCTCGAATTTGAAATGGGTTCTCCACTCTCGTCTTTGGCCAAGGAACCCCCACCCTAGGCTGACCCATGAGGCAGGCTGGGTTTTAGGGTGCCTTACATTTCCTTCTGCTCTAGGTCCAGTGCTCACAGTCCATCGTGGTGGTGGGCGGAGGCTCTGCAGGAGTGGAGATGGCAGCAGAGATTAAAACAGAGTATCCTGAGAAGGAGGTGGGCAAGCGACCTTGACTTTGACCTCTTAGTAGTCAGCTTATTTCTGTGTTGTCTAAGGAAAATTAGGAATTTGCTCAGGTCCTGGGAGGCAGAACTCCCTTAATATAAAGTGGGAGTGCGTGTTTCCCATCTCCTGCTTTCTGTATTGGGGAATCCCCTAAAGTCCCTTCTCCTGGGAATTTTTCCTGGAGATCCAGGGGTCCTGCCTTCTGGTCCAGCCAGGAGGATCAAGCTCAGGAAAGACACCTTATACAAGGTTAACTCCTGTGTCTTCCTGCAGTGTCCTGGCCTCTGTGGTCTAGATGTAGACTTCGATTACCTCTTTTGCTGACAACTAGCTTGGTCAAAGGCACCCCTAGTTGTTTTTTTGTCTGGGGAAAGCAACAGCTTCTTTGGTCCTTAAGAGACAGTAGCCTTTGCCCTCGACAGCCACATGGGGAAAGCCTGCCGTATAGCCCCTCACTGTGCATACTGGGGAAAGACTGGCCAGCACTACCTCCTGCCCACGGAAGAGTGTCCCTGTTTCCTTTTAATAATAGAGGGGTAGAGCACCTGCCTGGTACTCTGGAGAGAAAGAGAACATCCTGGCAGGCTATAAAAGCTCAGCTGAGGGCTGAGCGATGATTAATAATTATGGGTCCTGGGGACAACAGCTTGCTGGCAGCTGATGCCAGATGAGCTTCAGAGTGTAACATGGAGCCTGTGACTGGATCTTTTTCTCTAGGGAAAGGCAGGTTGGTGTTGAAGAGTAAGATCTATACAGCTAATTTAATTATACAGTTTTCTGATGAATTGTTGGAAATTATGACTGATGTGAAATTTTATTAATTTTGATTTATGGGGTAAAGACCAGTCCGAAGAGGGAAGTAACTCAGTATAACTTCCATGTGTTCATAATTAGACAAATAAGGGCAGTGGTAGTCACCCTTTCATAAGGACTCAGTATGTGTTGAGTTATGTGCTTTATATACATTTTCTCCTTTCATCATTAAAAAATTCTCACTAGTGGGATTGTGATCTCGTCTTACTGAGTTGTCAGGCAGTTTCTGAATAAGTATCCTTGATGGGATTTCAACTCAGACAGTCTGATTTCATAGTCCGAGCTTTGAATACCATTCTAGGCTGCCTCCTACTTTCCTGTGCTGACCCAGAAGCAAGTAGACGTGCCTGAAAGAGCCAATTTGAGAACCAGCTTTAATGTAAATGTCAGTCTGATATACAGTTAGAATGCCAGTGGCTTATATATAGACTGTATAGTCGTAAGTGCCCAAGGATGCTTGAAGATAGCTTTCTGCGTGGCCCTGGGGTGGGTTGTGGAGCACTGGCGCATTCTGAGCGTCCTAGACCAGGAGATGAGGCTCCAGCCAAGCTCTTCGTCAGTTTACTGGCTCTGGTGTTGGGCAAATTACTTCACTTGGGCCTCTGTTCCCTATCCTGTAAACTAGAGGTAGGGAAGGAGGTGGAGAAGATGGACTGATGTGTTTTTAAGCCTTTTCATGTGAGCAGGAGACCCAGTGGTTCCTTCTCTGTCCTGTGGTTGTCTGTCCCCAGGTTACTCTCATTCACTCCCAAGTGGCCCTCGCTGACAAGGAGCTTCTGCCCTGTGTCCGGCAGGAAGTGAAGGAGATCCTGCTCCGGAAAGGCGTGCAGTTGTTGCTGAGTACGTGCAAGTCCCTCCCTGTGCTGCCCCTCTCCTTGGCCTAGTGAGACTGGGCTCACAGGTTCGGTTGCTGTCCCCAGCTCGCTCTGTGTCCTGAGGTTGAGCATCAAAGCCCATTTGAGCCCTTTTGTTCAGCTAGAGGTTGTGTCTGTCCTTGGGCAGGGCAGAGGCCCCGATACTTATAGGATTTCCATGTTGCGGAGGCAGCACTGTCTGCAGAGGCAATTGCTTTAGACACTGTGCAAGAAGCACCTATTTGTTGAATGACTTAAAAATCATCTAAAGGATTTGACCTAAATTATGATGCCTCTGCAGTGGGGAGAATAGGTTTTTTTGGGGTTTATTTTGAGGGTGATGAAGAATGTGGCTTTCATCCAGGGCAGGAGGGAAGAGAACCACCCAGCCTGTTAGAGAGTGGGGCTCTAACTCCAGTGGTGTGACCGCCACACTCGTGGGGCTCCACTTCCTTGTTTTTTGCAGGAAGCCCATCCTGGCTCTTGGTCTCCTTGTACCTCGCTCTGTAGTACTGTGACCACCTTTACTTCTAGGCAATGAGGAGAGTAGACTGGTTTCTTGACCTTCCTTGCCTTGCCTTTGTTGGCGTGCCTGCCTCATCCTGTCTGGTCAGGACGGGATAGCTGACAGCCGGGGAGGAGTGTTGGAAGTCTTCTTCAAATAGCTTTCCCCAGAACGTGGGAAACTCAGCCTCAAATTGCTTCTTGGAACTTTCTTCCCATTGGATCCCTTGGGACCAGTTGTCCAGATTGTGCTTCTGGGGCATCAGAGTGGACTGGGAGAGGGGCAGGGAGGGAAGGAGGGAATGAGAGTCATTGCCTAGTTGGGCCACAATGTCTAGGCCTTTCCTGTGGGTCTCTAGCCTTCCCCAGGTTTGCCTTCACTTGGACCCCAGCCTTGATTAAGAGGCCATCCTCTGCCAGCCTTCTGGTCACAGACCTCCCTCGACAGGTGAGCGGGTGAACAACCTGGAGGAGCTGCCTCTCAATGAGTATCGAGAGTGCATCAAAGTGCGGACGGACAAAGGCACAGAGATGGCCACCAACCTGGTGATTATCTGCAGTGGTATCAAGATCAACAGCTTTGCCTACCACAGTACGTTTGGTAAGCAGGAGTCTGCGCTGTTGCCCTCTCCCGAGATAGTCACCTCACTCCCCAGCCTCCCAAGAAGGCCCCACAGGCCTCTCCCCGAGGAATCGGTACCACCCTGCCTTCCACGTCTATCCCAGCAGTTCACGTCTCTTCTGAATGGTGACATCCAAATTTTAATCGAAGATTCTGGTCCACTCTTGCCGTGCTCTTCTCAGCTGTGACGATGATGACTTAGCCCAAAATGCCCAAAGTGACCAGAATTTTCCAAAATTAGGGCCCGCTCCCTAGTGGTGAGAGGTGAGAACAGGTTTCAGAGAGATGAAAAAGATCTATTTTCTGTTTCATTCCTTGGAACACATGCAGAGGAAATTCAGGGTCAGATCTTTCTCTGTTTACAGATGTGCTGCTCTCCTCAACCCCTGATCCAGACGTTTGGCCACATGAGCTTGGAACAACCATTGGGGAATGGGGGCAGCAATGTGGCCTCATGCTCTTAAAGCTCAATATTGAACTATCTAGCTAACTGGAGAGCAGGTGGACTGATGGCCTCCATGTGTGAGCTAGAGACTCAGTGGCTCCTTGTCAGGCTCCGTGGTTGTTGTGTCCCCATCATTTATTCCCGAGCACAAGTTGCTTATGCTTTGTGCCCTGCAGGAAAGATTTCTCTAATCCCAGAGGAAGGAAGTTAGTCCAGGCCAGGTGTGGGGGTGGGACTGGGGGCTTATAATGGAGAGATCCCAGAATTTAACACCTAATTGTCCTAATGTCATATTTTCAAAGTACCTTAAAATGAAAAGTTTATTATTTATAAAAGCCCTGCAAAATTTACAAAATCTGATCCATGTTCAAAAGAAAATTCAAGACTTGGCTAAATTGTAAACTTAATCACCGTAAGTTAAACTTACAGAGTTATGCATATTATGTAAAATGACACTTGCTGTATTTCTGACCAGTTTTCACCCTGGAAAAGGAACCTTACCTTTGCAGGAAGAGTTCTGAGGTAGGGACTTTGGGCAGAGAGGAATTAGGTGGGAGGCTTGCTTGTGGAGGGCAGCCTTTGGAGGGTGCTTTGAGCAGCACTGGAGCTTCTTTCCACCGCGTTCTGGGGCCACTTAGCACAGCAGCTCAGGATCTTGGTTTCGTGTTGGTTTTTCCTGGCAGATAGCCAGCTGGCCAGCAACGGCACCCTGAAGGTGAATGAGTACCTCCAGGTGGAGGGCTGCAACCACATCTATGCTATCGGTGACTGTGCTGATGTGAAGGAGCCCAAGATGGCCTATCATGCTGGTCTCCATGCCAGCGTCGCCGTGGCCAACATCGTCAACTCCATTAAACAGAGGCCCCTCAAGGCCTACAAGCCGGGTAAGGGAACCCCACATGCTTCATCGTTTAGAGAGTTGGGGTTAGACATGGCGAAGCCTTTGTGGGCTTTGAGGTAACTGACCGCTAGGACAAACTTTCAAAGCTGGTGACAGAACACCCCTGTAGAGCACTTTAACAATATTTTGGGAATTAATAAATAAATCTTGGAATTGCAGGCCCATGAATGGTGAACAAGATTCTAGTTTGTGCCTCTGCTCCACAGGCGCACTGACCTTCCTCCTGGCCATGGGGAGAAATGACGGTGTGGGCCAGATTGGTGGCTTCTACGTGGGACGGTTCATGGTCCGGCTGACCAAGAGCCGGGACCTGTTTGTCTCCACAAGCTGGAAAACCATGCGGCAGTCTCCGCCCTGATGGAGAGGCTGGGCGGGAGATGAGGTACTGCCACTGCCAGGTGAATGGATTGCTTGACAAATGGTGCTCATCTGACAAGTGCCAAAGGGCAAAAGCTCTTTTTCTGGGATAAGATGCCAGTGATGTCCTGACTAGAAACACAACTTACAGAAAACCAAAAATGGAGAGACAGAGATAGAAATTTTTAAAAAGACACCCTCTAGAGGATTCTTTCTGGGTTTGGAAAGGTCTGCTTGCTGCATGCTGGCTGAATGCTTCACTTGGTCCTGGGGAGGGCACAGTTGGCCTCCCAGGATATACGTGTGCCTGTGCACATGGGGTGTGGCATTCAGAGCTCTCAGTGTAGGGTGGAGAGCGGGGTCTTCTGGCATGGAATCCTGTCTGTAAGGGCAGGAAGGAGGGCCTACAAAGTGAGACCAGGTAAGGAAGCGAAGCTGGGGTGGAGGTGGCCCGCACCCCAAACTCTCCCTTTGTTCAGGTGCTAGGGAAGCCAATACATCCTATAACACCAGGTTGTTAATAGGAGCCTGATTTTAAACTGTTAGTCCCTAGTCTTTAATCTTCATGAAACTTTCTATATTTCTATTTTTAGATTCTGATTATATCCTATGTTATATTTAAGAAGAGAGAAAAATTTCCCTTCTGGTTAGTGCATCCTAACAGAGTGAGTTTTTACAAAGCTATCAGGAGTTAAGACTGAAGCTTGGCCTGCCAGCCTCTAGAAGTGTTTAAGAAAAGGCAGCTGAGCTAATGTCACCTTTAGGTGGGTTGCCATCTGATTGATATTCATGGAGCAGCTGAGGTGGGGGGTTAGCTGGAGGGTGGGAGGTGGGGGTTAGCAGGTGAACCCCTGCATGCTTTCAGGCTGTTGTCATGGGCAAATTTATGTGACAAAGCTCCAGCTGATGTTGGGGGACCCTGTGGGAACCTTTGCAGTTTGTGCTTCTGGTTGCCTGGCCAACCTTAATGTCACTTATCTGGAGGCCCAGCCATGTGGCAGTAATGCCTACCACCAGCAGTGCTAAGGTATATGAATGACTCCTCTATTTGTGGGGGAACTTCCAATCTGGAGGAGTCCATTTCGGACCACGTAAGTTAACTCTCTACAGCAGAAGTGGTTGATAAATTCATCTGAATAAACTCAGGCCCCGACCCTGCCAACCCTCCTCCTCTCTGCCCATTTTTGATGGTGGCCTCTGGGTACTTGGCCAGAGTCCTTGGGCACCAGCCTCACTGGGGTTCTCAGTCTATCCCATCTGGGCTGTGGCCCAGGCCTGAGTGAGACATTGCCTTCCAAGGATGGCTGTCCCGCCGGAGCTCCGCCCAGGGCAGTGTTCCTGTGGACCACGGCCCACCAGGCCTCACTTCTGGAATCAGGACCTGCCACCTGAGAAACAGGCCATGTTGTGCTCTCTGCCCTGGGACCTAGCATGGTGGGAGTCTCAGCCATTGGAGACAGGCCTTGTTCTATTTATAACATCCTAGACGTGTCCACTCATGAGGACAGTTTTCCAAACTGAGGAAAATGTCGCAATAAAAGAATATGTTGTAAGAAAGACACTGGATCTTTTATTTTTTTCGTTTCATTTTCTTTTTCTTAAAAAAACAAAACAAAACAGAAAAAAGTCTGAAGTAAAACCTTTTAAAGAGTAGTTACAGATATTAAAGGGGTGGGGTGGGGGCACTAAAACAAAAGAAAAGCACCAGTGAGATGCCTTTCTAATTTTCTTCTCCCCATCACTGAATACAGACAGCCAACAAAGCCCGAGTCACGTTTATGCCCTCCTCCCTTGTAAAAGGAGAAATAGAAGACTTAAGAATTTTGAAAGACTGTGTGTGTGTGTGTGTGTGTGTGTGTGTGTGTGTGTGTGTGTAAAAGTCAGTGCTATAAATCTAAAACGAAGTCTGTTTTTTTAAAAAGTTCTAAAACAACAGGGGGAAAACACATGGAAAGACCCCTCGTGGAGACCTGGTTTTTAGGATTGAGGATCTTTTTAACAATATAAAATGCAAAGGGCTCCTTCTGTAGGCGGGACCTGCTCCTGCAGCCTTTGCCACCCGCTTCCCTTCAGCTGCCCTCCACTCCCCTGCGGCACCCTTCCTCTTTCCTTTTAAAAAACAAAACCAACTCCTACGACTTTGATTTTCCTCCGACTCCTGTTGCAAAGTGCAGCCGTGGCTGAGGCGGCTACTTGGTGTCGAGCTTGGCCATCTCCTGCACGTAGATGCCGATGCTCTCGCTGTCGAAGAGCAGGAAGTAGACGTTCTTCAACGAGGATGCACTTGAGTCGTCGAAATGGGCTGAGATGGCTTTGAGGGTTACCTGGGCGGCCGTCTGTTTGGGGAAGCAGTTTCTGTGCCGAAGAAAAAGAAGGGCCTACATCACTTTGGTCCTCTGGATGCATGGAGTAACTCAGCCTTGGGCAGGAGGAATGTAGGTCTTTTTTATCTTGGCACTGGGCCCTGGTTTCTATTGCATGGGGTCTCACTATGTGCAGGTTGCTCCACTCATAATCTCCTTTGATGCAAGTCAGAGGGACAGCTTTGGGGGACAAGCAGAGGATGTGTCTACACTTTACAGGTGACACACTGACTCAGAGATGCGGTGGTTTTAGCCAAGGTCATACATAGGGTTGGCTCGTGAGCGGTACCCTGTACTTGAATCTACATAGCCTGACTCAAGTTGGGCTCAGCTTTAAAAATACTACCAATTCAGCATTTCAAATACTTGGTCTTCGAAAAAAGCACATAAAGTTTTTTATTAGCTCCCTCAAAACTGGTTTATGTCATAAATGGACTGTTTATTAAAGGACAAAAACGTATGCTCGAAAGTGTAACTTCCTAATTCTCTTATGCTCTTAATCTCATCAACTCATAGAGATGTGCAAATATCATTTCAGCAGCAGTGACTCCGGACAAGGCCCCAAGCATCAGGAAGCCATGATAAAGCTGTCTTCCAGGGTGGGCCATGGCACCAGTCTCGGTGGACATAATCTATCGTGGTCATTTGGGGTCAGCCATCAAGCCTGCTTGAGAGAATATAGGATGGGCCTGCATAATATGAATTCTCACTTGTATGTAGTGCCCCAGTCCAGAACATCATGGCACATGATCCCAGCTATGCAAAGAATTCAGCCCACAGCCTCTGGGCTGGGCTGTGGAGACCCAGTGCTACTTGTTTAGGTTGGGATAGGATTACGGCAGGAGGGTAGGTCTCTTATATTCCTCCTGGCTTTCCCAAGACTCGGCTGTAACAGATGTCTTCAGCTTATAAATCATATCTGTGTTACAGGGGCATCAATCTCTGTTAAGAGGGCATTCAAAATTAAAGCAATAACTTGCTTTGGCTATGAGCAGATGTGAGAGGTAATGAGAGGATATGCTGCACGTGAAGATATCCTTGTTATTTACCAGAAATACTGCTCTTGTGCCCAGTTAGAACAGTCATTTCTCCTAAACCCCCAAAGCAAACCCCAGGTGAGAGCCTTTCATCTCTCTCGGTGTACATGTCAGAGCCTCAGCCTCCTGCCTTCCTGCTCCAGAGGCAGTAGGTCTGGGGTGAGCCTGAGATTCTGCATTTTACTCTGGTGGGGTCGCTGCTGCTGGGCCATGGACCAAACTTTTGAATAGCAAGGCCTTCAAGCCTGATGTTTTCTGATCATGTGTTCTAAACAGAAACAGCTAGTGGGAATGTGGGTTTTGAACTCTCAAAAAAGTACTCTGCTTCCTGCTCCTCAAAGCTGCCTCTCTCCGTGTTTTTTGAAGGACGGAGGCTGGGTTTCTTGCCCTATGACCCGATTAGCATGCTTGGCTGAGCTGGTAGCCCTTGGTCATGCCATCTGGAATGGCCAGAATGGATGTGAATAAGTGGGAGAGCTGCCGGTTCCCAGGGAGAAGACTGGAAGAATAAACTCAGAACCTCTGCTGCCTGCCTAGAGAAGTGCCTCTTACCTGCCACTGGGGAAGGGTGGGAAGGCAACAGACTTTAGCTTCTTGTCCTCTGCCGCTGACAGGCAGTTTTTGATGGTCTCTTCAAGCTGCTCTTCACATTTGTCGGAGCCCCACTGAGGGATGTGACAGTGGATGACAAATTTAGCTGCAAGTCCGCTGGATTGGCTGACGGCGGCTGGGACATGAGAAAGAAATGCTGCAGGTTATTTCCTAGTCTTCACCTTAAGTCAGGGGGATAGGACGAACCTCACATGTACCTGATAGGTGTGGGGGGCACAAAGAGGCGATAGGGAAGTTGACAGGACAACGAATGTCCCATGCCTCCAACTACATGTTTACAGAGAGCAGGAGCTATGTCGGAATTGTTATGGACAGTCGGCACAAGCTTCACATAGATGCGTTTATAGCTGATGTGATGGCACATGACTTTCAAGTGGTCTGCCAACTAGTTTAGTCAACCTACTCATGATGGTTCCTAATCGAAGGTACACATCAGAATCATCTCTGGTGGCTGTGGTAGGCTGAGGAGTGGCCTCTCCAAAAAGTCCACACCCTAATCCCTGGCACCTGTGAATGTTACCTTCATGGCAAAAGGGACTTTGCAGATGTGATTCTGTGAGGGATTCTGAGATGAGGATATTATCCTTATAAGAAAGAGGTAGGAAGGTCAGGGTAGGAGAAAGTGATGTGATGCTGGAGCAGAGATCAGAGATGCTGCCAAGAGCCGTGGAAAAGTAGCAGCCTAGAGCTGAAAAAGGCAAGGAACAGCTTCTCTGAGAAGGAAACAGCCCTGCCAGCACCTTGATTTTAGTTTTTTAACACTGCTTGTGGGCTTCTGACCTCCAGAACTCTTACGAGAATACATATGTATTGTTTGAAGCCACTAAATTTATGGTGATTTGTTACAGTTAGGAAACTAATGGCTTTTAGACATTTAACAAATAGACATGTACACTCCCCACCCCCTACCCCAAGATCCTGACGTAGCAGGTCTGGTGAAGGTCTTGTGCTAGTGACTTAGAACTCTCTGTAAGTTAAGAGCCACTGCTCTAGGCCACACAGTCTCTCAGACAGGGATTGTCTTTTGATCACTTCCACATACCTGAGAAGCCTGCAGGGAGCAGGCATTCACACAGGTTGCGACTTGTGCCCCAGGCCCACCAAATGCCAACAAATTCATCACTCACTCCTGAAACCCGATTCCTCTTTCTCCCATTCTGTCACTGGAACACCAGTTGGTTTCCTCAGACTTGTCTCATTCCAGGACCATCTGCTTCATCTCCACCACAACCTCTTGCCCCGTCCCATCCAGCTTTCTGGCTAGTCAGCCTGGACTGAGCTGTGTTCTTCCAGAGAAAAGTTGTGTTTGCTTCTATGTCACCTGGGGCACTACCAAACCAAGATCACGTCCCACTGATTTCCCTGCCTGAGGTTTTTGGGCCACCCTGGATTCTGCTGCAAATCTGGAGGAGTACTGGTTTGTAGTTCAGATTCTCCAGTGAGGCCTTTCCCCTGCTCGGTCCACCCAATACCAAGGTCAAGATACATATTATTACCTTTTCTGCATGGTGAGTTCATGTCTTGCTTGCTGTTAAACTGAACGTGTCCTGGCTTTATGTGGGGTCTCCTACTAGACACCCCATCTGGAAATCTATTCTTTTTAAATGGTATATACAATAGGGCATATTTTACAAGTGATGGTGTTTTGAAACTAAATGAAATATGATGTTAGAACCTGATGAATTATATCCCCTTTTCCAGATTCAACCTCACCAATCCCTTCTTCCCAGGTGGCTACCAGCCCCAGGCCACAGAGACTTAGCTCTAACAGATTAATACTAGTTTCTTAGCTCGTGATCGCTCCCTGCAGCCCTTTCCTTCCTACTGGATTCACTTGTTTCTCCCAGCGAGGCCTTCTGTAGTCCTTTAAGTGAGCATCTGTGGATTTCTAACCCTCAACTTTTCCATGTCCGAATTGTGCACTTCCCACCTTCCGTCTTGAATAATAACAAAGCACCATGTGGGATTCTTGGTTGACAGGTTTTCCCTTCCGTACTTTGAAGATATTTCTTTCCCGTCTCCAAGCATCCTATGTTGCTTACAAGAAAAGTCCACTGTCAGGATAACGGTCTTTACAAACTATCTGTCTTTCCTTTTGGGTTGCTTTCCAAGTTTCTCTTTATTTCTAAATTTCTGACGTGTTACCACAATGGGCCAGGTTTTGGATTTATTTTCATTTATTATACTCAATATTTTCAACCTGAGGACTCACATGTTTCATTCTGGAAAATTTTCAGCCTAAATACTGCTTTTCTACCTTGTATTTTCTGCCTCTGGAACTCTGTTTAGCAGTATGCTGGAGCCTCTCATTCTATGTAGAGCAGCTCTTTTTTCTTTCCTTCCCACCCTGTCAGGCAGTTTTCTAGGTGCCTCTCCCAGAACCCCCAGATCCAATCTCATATGGCCAGTTCAGGGCTCTGTCTCAAGATCATGTAGGGGTGTGGCAGATCCAGACATTGAGCCAGTGGGCAACGTGGCCCCAGGCCTGGGTGAGGGGCTCCCTGCTCCCTTCCGCTACCCTAGAAAACAGATTTCACACAAGCCACAGCCCTGGATGGTGGTCATAGCTAAAGGCCATGGAGTTTTGTCCAGCATTTGCTTTCAGCACTGAGCCTGGCTCCGGTCCCCTCTAAGTGTGAGGTGACTCCAGCCCCATCACTATGTAAGAGCTGACCTCCTGAAGGTTCTGCATATTACCAGACTTGGAGCCCAGTGCCCGCAGCTTAGACCTCCCTCACTGCTGCCACATGTAGCTCTCCTATCCCTGCCCACACGTACGTTTGTCATATTTCAATGTGACTCTGTCTTAAAATTTTAAATAAGAAACTCTCATTGCTATATGTATGGAGAGTGGTGTGTGCAAACTGTAGAGCACTGACTCATGTTCTTTCCTGACTGGAACCTCCATTACTTTTCCAGCAATCAAATCTGATCATGACAGTCCCCAGCGTAAACTTTCAAAGGTGCCTCTTTCATCTACATAGGGTCTTCTTCCATCTGCTGCTCCCTGTTGGATCATGACCTGAGCCTTTTCACACACAACACCCCTATGGTCATGATATCTCTGCCCCTGAGTGGGTCTTACACCTTCATGGAGCCTCCCCAACTCCTCCAAGCAGAGGGCGAGCACTGCGGTCCTGTTCCCATCTCTCTGTGCCTCACTTGTGTGTCTGTCTTTCCTCTTAGACTGTCCAGTGCTTGAGAGCAGGAGTGGGATTTATTATCTTTGGAGCCCCAGCATGAGGGCAGTAGTTGGCACTGGCTACCTGGTCACTGGGGGTGGTGTGGGTGGGGACACAGATTGGAGTTGGACCCGCTTGTCAAAAAGTTACCCAATAGGCCTGAAAACAGGTGTTCAGATAAAAACTTGTGCACAAATATTCATAGTGGCTCTATTTACAATAGCTAAAGGAGGAAACAACCCAAATGATGAATGTATAAACAAAATGGAATATTATCCGGCCCCAAGGAGAAATGAAGTTCTGATATGTGCTACACCATGCATGAACATTGAAAAAATTGTCATGTGAAAGAAGTCAGACACAAAAGGTCACATGTTGTATGACTCCATTTATATGACATGTCCAGAACAGGTGAATCCATGCGACAGAGGCAGAGTGGTGGCTGCCAGGGCTGGGGGAACGGAATGACTGGTTAACATGAGGTTACCCAATAGCAACAGACTATTTTTGGGTGACCTGATGTAAACTGACTTGAACTATCCAGATACTTTATAGTCCCCAAAGTGTATGACACGATCTACAAAGACTTGTTGAAATTTAAAAAGATAGCATTCTGACTAGTTATGGCATATTTTGCTTTGCAAACTGATTACGTAGGAAGCTAGAGAGGGAAGTGGTGGAGCCATGCAGGGAATACAGGCCCAATTCACACTTACCTTCAGCAACTTCCAAAGGGCCCTGGGATTTGCGGAGCTCTTTTACTGTTTCCAAGAACTCTTTTCCCCCAGCCTTTTCCAAGGCCTTACCTGTGAAGGAGAATAAGGGGAAGCCACTGTGGTTGCTCTTTTCAATATCATTAATTACACCGTTTGACATACTTTTACTAAGCCAGAAACAAACAAACTACATTTGGAAAGTAGGAATCAAACTTTGCAACTAAAATCCTGATTTGCCAGTGGTCACTGGTGGCAGGGGTCTCTGGCCTCTGCCAGGGGTCCCCAACACTGGTACCAGTCCTGGTCCGTGGCCTATTAGGAAACGGGCCACATAGCAAGAGGTGAGCAGCGGAAGAGCAAGCGAAGCTTCGCCCATGTTTAGAGTCACTCCCCAGCACTAGCATCACCGCCTCAACTCCACCTCAGATCATCAGGCATTAGATTCTCATAGGAGCACCGGTCCCTGGTGCCAAAAAGATTGGGAACTGCTGTAGTAGGACTTAGATTCTAGCAAACTCTTTTAAAGGACCTTTTAAGGGATGATTTGGCCATAAAGTGGTCTCATAACATGAATCCTGAAGATGATTCTTTTTTTTTTAATTGAGGCTCCAGTGTTCTCTTCTTTGGGTTTAGTACCTGCGTTGTGTTGGTTAAATTCAGTGTTTTGATGTGATGGCAGCGTCCCACACTGTGGGGCATCTCATAGACCCTCTTGTCATCAGCTCCTAAGCTTAGTTTCAGAGCCACCCTTGTGGATGCAGTCTCATTGGGGAGCCCAAACCCAAGGTGACCGATGGCTTGGCAGGAACCCCTAGGTGGAGAGCTCTGGAGTCTTGTTCCCATCTCACCACCACCAACATGTTGTAAGTCCTTGAGATCAAAGGACAGACACAGGCCAAGAGTAGCCTGGAATGTTGTCCCCCAAACTGGGCCTCAATTTTCAATGGAAAAATGCAGAGATTTGAGTCGCTAATCGCTGAGGATCTTCCTGCTGGGAGAGTCCTTGAGTATTTGATATTAAGGCAATTCCCCACTCAATATTTCAGGGAACCCCCAGGAGATGGCAGGACTCTATCTCTGGCCCAGCATGAACCCTACCTATGTGCCCCAGGGGATCCTCATGCCTCTGAGATGACATAATGGTGTTTCGTCCAGACCAGGGTGACTGCTGATGTCAGGTGAGAGGTGAGGTATTTCCTCTCATATATGTCCATCTTCTGTTGAATTTGGTGATCTGGATGTCTGGGGCAAGTTTTAACTTTCTCTCTTTATGGTTATGAGTATTATTATTATTATTCAGTTGAGAGGCTTTCCTAGAGGCTCGGTGATGGAGCCTCCTCACTCCACACTCAGACACTCAGGTTTATTTGGAGAGCCACAGTGTATTGTGCAGACCAATTAGAAAAAATGTCAATTCCAGCAGTCACTCGCCCCTGGGATGGATCTGGGGAGGGGGCTTCTTCATCAATGTGCTTGGGTTTCAATGATAGAATTTGGAAATGGCGATCATGGGCTATGCTGAGTGCCCTGAAGTCTCCTTTCTGGCCCTCAGACTCCTGGCCAGTGTCGATCTGTGAGATCACAGAAGCCTGGAGGAGGCCAGGTAATCAAAGCTGGTAGCCAAGTCCATGCTGAGGAGTAGGGGAAATAGGTTTAAGTTGCTTCACTCAGATCAGGGGTCAGATGGGAACATGTAAAAGGCAAGGTGAGTGCACCCTCTTCCCTGAGGACTTCTAAGAATAAAGCAGCCCGGAGGGTTGATGAGGGGACTTATTCCCCGTGGAAGCATTCTAGTGAAGAAATGAAAAAGGAATGGTAGAATGAGAACATCCCCACTTTGCAGCCCCTATTGAATGGAGAAACCTAGAGAAGAAGCACCCACAGGAGACAAACAACCAGGCCTTATGTGCCTCCTGATGGAAGAACATCTCGTTTGATCAGGTTGTCTTGCCAAATATTTTGAGCTTGAATCTTATTAAACCTCCAGATCAACTATCAACTTATAAGAAAGACAAAGAAAAAACACGTTTTAACAACATCAGGAGGATGCAATCAATAAAATCCAGATTGTGGGAAACCCTACAGGAAAAATGAATGGCCCAGCTTCCTCAACAAATAAATTGCAAAAAAAAAAAAAAAAAAAAAAAAAAAGAGAGAGTGAGAGAGAGAGATCGGAAGGTATGGGTTACAAAAAAACTTAAGAGGCTTATCAACCAATTGCAATATGTGGACTTATTTGGATCCTGAACCAAATAAGCAAATTAAAAAAAATTATTGGAGATTTATGACATAACTGGAATTTGAATACTGACCGATATTTAATGATATTAATGTTTTTAATTGTGATAATGGTATTATGGTTATGTTGTTAAAAAAAACAGCCCTCAAGCAGGGTCGGGCCTGGTTAGTACTTGGATGGAAGACCACCTAGGAAGACCAGGTGCTGTAGGTGTAAAAAATAAAAAAAATAAGGGATTGTAAGCTGACAAGGTACTTGCAATCTGTGAGGTCAACCAAGGGCTGCCTCGCCTGAAAAAAAACAGCCCTCATTCTTCTGAAATATTCACAGATAAAATGATAGGACATCTGGGGGGATGTGTGTGGGGGCAGAGCTGAAAAAGACTTGGTCATGGGTTGATCATTGTTACAACTGGGTGCCTTGGGTTTCATTATACTCCTCTGCTATTTTTGTATAGGCTTGAACTTTCCAGTAATAACATACGATGTTTTAAAAAGAATAAATCAGGGCCTTATTTGCATGGAGTTATTGGTTTAGGCAATGGTAGTGGAGATGGTAGTAGAATCATCATGGGAGGGACCCTTTCTAACAATTCAGCAACAATAAAGATTATCATTTATCAAATGCTTATGAGCCCAGCACTGACAGGTGAGGAAACTGAGGTCCGGAGAGCTAAGAAAGCTGCCCCAAATCACACAGCTAAGAAGTGATTTATAAAATCCAGGGCACAGACCCAGGCTGACTCCAGAACTTCCCTGCTGGGATCTGAGCTTGAGTTTTTCCTCTTATATGAGAATTCTTTCTATTCTACCACCACCCTGCTACCTAAAAAAAAAATTTAAAAAAAAAGAAAAATCATTATTGTTTTCCTATATAAATATGCAAACTACAGTATGATAAAGTAGGACAGTACCACTTGTTTTCCTTATGAGAAGCTAGGAAACACTTCAAAACAGAGCTCAAGATTAAGGCCACCAGGGCAGTCTTTCCACAGAGGCGTGGAGTTGGTAGGACCTGAGCTGGATTTGAAGAGTAAAGAAGGAATTGTCACCACCACTGTTTCTGTGCAAGAGAAGTCCTGTATCTCTGTAATAAATCCTCCCTCTCTCCACTGCTGTCCTATTTTCTTTCCAGCAAAGCAAGTGGCTTCTGATGCCAAGTGGGAAACATAAGTGAACCTGGCAGTCTGGGGCCACTGGTGCTGCCATCTAGGGCTGAACTACTAGCAATTGCTTCAAGTCACCTATCTGAAGCAAACCCTGCATCCCAGGGACAAAGCCCTTCTTTGCTCACTTCATTGATTCAGTGAAAAGGTTATGCCACTTCTGTGTTGTGAAAATGGATAAGACAGTGACCATTTAGTATGATATTATTTCTAGTACCCTTGATGGCTTACCTTCCCAAGCCCCTCCACCTAGCCTGGTAATAGCTCCCGCCTTAAAGACGACCTAACTTTTCCCAGAGGCCCATTTCCCTTTTACCAATGGTGTTCTTAATATTTAAGCTTAAAATACATGTAGAGTTTTACCCAAAACATGTACAACAATGTTTAAAGCATTATATAGTCCGAACTGGAAACTAGCCAAATGCCACTAGTGGTGGGATGGATTAACAAATTATGGTATGTTCCTATAGTGGAATACTATACAGCAAAGAAAATGAACGAACTATAGTCACACTCAACAATATGGGTAGATTTCACAAATATAAAGTTTAGCAAAAAGAGCCAGACACAAAAGAAGACATACTGCATGATTTCATTTACATAAAATCCCAAACAGATGACATCCAGCTCTGCTGTTAGAAGGCAGGATAGTGGTTACTCATGGACAGAATGGTGACCAGGAATGGGGAGGAGGGAAACTTTTAGGGTGCTGGTAAGGTTCTGCTTCATGATCAAGGTGCTGGTGATTACAAAGATGTGTTTGTTCACTTTGAGAAAAATTGACCAAGCTGTGTACTAATGATCTGTTTGTATATAACACTTCAACAAAAATTTCCAAAACATATGCAGATTTAAAACAAAATTAGTTACTCTCAAGTAATGCTGTTGAACTACATAGAAAAGGCAGAATTTGACATGGGACCCCAAGCATGGGATATCCAGTTTACAATGACAAACTTCACAAGAACTTGCACAAAAAGTGGGCTCTACTATGGCACCTCTACCAAAGTCTCAAGACCTTACCTATATCTTCTTTGAGGTCAATTTCGGCTGTGGTTGGGTGGACAATGCCCTCCACTCTCATAGAGCCAATATGGCTGATGTCACTCTGGGTCAGGGACAGCTGCATTAGGAGAAAAGGACAAAGAGTGTGGGAAAGATGAAATCCTATTAAAAATCTTCATATTTTACATCATATCTGATAATTCTCTCAATTATTTATACTGAATGTCAACACAAAGGGCTGTACGTGGAGCAACCATCTTAAGTTTCTAGGTGTTTGGTTTACAGTAGGTTTTTTTGAGCTCAGTGGATTTGATTTTCACTCTGAGGTTAGCAGCATACGACAGATCTTTTCCAGGAGCAGAAATGGGATCTCCCCTTCTCTTCCTTTCCCTATAGCCCATGCCTTCGTTTCTCATTCTGGGTGGCCCTTGTGTGTGGTGACATTTTCTTCGAGTAGCACCTGTGAGAGAAACCCAGGGCTTGCCCTCTCCTCTCCCTTCAGTTCCCTGCATTCTTCCCAGAACGGTACAGACTTTTGGTGGAGGGATACAGAACGGATGACCTTGCTTGAAAGAAGTGATAGGCTCCAGGATCCTGACCTGCCTATGACTGGCCACCTTGCCTTTTGGGGACTACATTCCTAGGGTTACACTTGTGAAATGATGCCCTTTGTGCTCCTAGCTAAGTGGAATGGAAGCATTCCCCATCGTCTCCTTATGTGAACAAGAACTTAATGTTCGCCTAGGTAAGTGAGAGAAAGCCCAGGTAAGTATGGACGGCTCCTAGTGGGGACATAAATTCTACCTCTTTGCTTCCCTGCTTGTAATGAATTAAGACCCTGACACATATACGTTCTTCTTATAACATGCTCTTCCCAATTGCTTCAACAGAGGTTACCATTGTCTCACTGTCAGGCTGCAAACATTCAGCTACCAGAGATATGATTAACTGTTTCCTCGTGTATCGTATTTCAGTCCCAGTTGACTTAATAGATAAATTGTCTGTTCTATAAACTTTATGCTGTGGGAATGAATTATTTGCATGTCTGGCTGGCTTGCTGCTGTGCTGCTGAAGACCATTCAAATGTATAGCCCTGTTCGTTTTCTTTCTGCAGTTGAGAAAGGCAAGCAGACTAAATTATTGGCAAATAATTCGTTTCTAACCCCAGGGATATTCAAGAAACATATTTCTATTTCCTTTCTTTGACAAATTAAATTGAGCCATGTAAGGTGGACCTCCCCAAGCTGTTTGACCAAATCAGCTATGAGTATTTTTGGTGGGCACAGAAATAACTTGGGCATGGAAAATTTTGAGTAAAACCAGTAATACCATCCTATTTATAGACCAGAAAGATTCTATGCTCACCTTTAGCTGACCAACGTCAGTATGAACAAGTCTCAGCACTAAAGAGCTTGTTCTCTCTCACAATGCAGACATTACCATAGCTCTTTAGTTTAAAAATGAATAATTCAAGATCAGAGTGAAAGTCGGATTATGGGAGCCAGGGATGAAGGAGGCAGCATTGCTTGTAAATAGTAGGTTATAAAAATGCGATTGTGCTTTACTACAGCATGGTACAATTCTTTTTATTACCTTCTGCCCTAGAACAAGGCTCTTAGAAGACAAAATGGTGAATCCATCCCCTGGCCCATCTTCAGAAGTGGAATTTGAAGTTCCTTCTTTATCACTGTCCTTTGCTTTGGACTGTGGGGAGAAATCAGAAGGACAGATGGGAAATCATCCAGAAAAAAACCCAAAGTGGCTTGAGTAAGCGTGTCACATGGCTACCACAAACTTGCACATGAAAAGAAGTGGTTTGGTGTGATGTTCTGCTGTTCTCAATGGAAGGAAACAAAGGAAAGCAATATCAGGGACACAAAAGAATGCTGCCAAAAATAAAGTGTGTTAAAGAATAATGTCTGTAGTCCTCACTCAAACCTGGATACAGGTGTTATTCTTGCTCTTTGCAACACCTACGGCTTCTGATGACAAGCATCAGAACCAAATGGGGTCATTCGAGCACACTGCTCAGCTCCTCTTCTCCCTAGGATTTTCCTGGGGCACCGTGGCAGTGCACTGAGCCCTTATATAATCTTTCATGTTGTCACAGAGGTCTGTGGAATGAAACTTTGACAACCCCTGAAGCAGTGCTGTCCAATGGGACGTCCTGCGATCATGGAAATGCCCATCTGTGCTGCTTAGTGCGACTGAGCACTCGGCTAGTGCGACCAAGGAACACATTTTAAATTTGATTTAGTTTTAATTAATTTAATAATTAAGTAAATTGATTTAATAAATTAAATAAATTGATTTAAATTCAAATTGAAATAGCCAGCGGTTACCATGCTGGGCAGCATACGAAAATATTATTCCACAAAGGGCATCTCTGAGCTATAACTACTTAGCATACCAGGTTACCCAAAACATCTGAAATCCCATTGACTGGACTTAGGCGACTATCTTAGGGGACACTAGAAATATTTTAGAGTGCAACATGGAGCTCTGAAAAGCAGAGTTCCAAGCTATCGCCTCTCATTTAAAATTTTGGCGGGGGCAGTGGAAGGGATCTGGAGACTTGAAAACCACTGCACTTTGGGTTTGGAGATTTCTAGTAGACGCTGCCTGATGATTGGAGCTCTAGTCTCAAGGGCCCCATATTCTTCTCCATAGACATTCTTGTCATTTTCCCCCAGCGCCAAGCTGCGGAGAGTCTCCAGTCCTTCAGAGATGCCGGCTACACCCTCATCTTTTGATCATTCAACTTGCCTCCTTCTCAGAGTCCCTGGCTCACAGATACAACCTGGCTCACCTTTTTGGACGTCCGTGGTTTGGCAGCCTTGGATTTCTTGCCCCCCTTCTTTCCTGACGTGGCCTTTCTTCCCCTTTTCTCTGGGGGCGGGGAGAGGATGGTTTCCGACTTGCCTTTGGTCCCTCGCTTTTTGGCCAGCAGTTCAGGGTGAATTCTGGGCAGGACACCTCCACTGGCGATGGTCACTCCTTTTAGCAGCTAAAGAGAGACATGCATGGACTTAACAGTTCTAACTGTTGGCAAAACAAGGGTTAAAGCTGGTCTTTGCTTTCCCAAAGAAATTGCATAATACAGGGTTTAATTGATTTTCTGTTTCACTTGCAGAGCTGTCCCTGTAGGTATCAAGGCCTCCCATGATCTTGCACAGAAAGCAAAATAAGCAAAGCAAAATGAAAGGGTATAGAAGTTGAAACCAGTGATGTTGCCCCAGGTTCTGAATTCCAGACATAACAGAGGATAAAGAGCTTCACATGTGGAAGCACAGCTTGACAAAATGAGGTTCAAAGGTCAATGCTAGGGCTAGACCCAGTAAACGACAAACCAGGTCTCCATACTCCTTTGTCACGCATTCCATCAGTAAAATATGTTTGACCGGGCACCTCCCAAGTGATATCTGTTTACTTTAGCTAATTGACATGGACTACTCTACTAAAGCATTCTGCATATCTGAAAGCAGCATTACTCCAAGTGTGGTCTGCAACCAGGGCTGGTCCACAAACTGTTAGTTACCTGTCTGTGATGAAGTACAGAAATTACAAGGAAGAGAATAGAGACTTTTATGGAAAATTGACAGAGGCATTGTATATCTATTGGATCTAATAAAAAAATTTTGGCTCGTAGTTTGTATTTTTTGTTTTTTATTTTTCTAGTAATTTTTTAATTGTATATTTGGAAATTATCAGTCCATGATAGACTGGAAATAAGAATCGCTTCACCACAGTTTGAGAACATATTAGAAAATAAGTACAAATAAAAATTCTTATACTATTGACCTGCCACCTTGTGCATCCTTGGGGGTCGGGGGACATTCACTCCACTTTGGAGTCAGTTCTAAAATATATAGGCTCAGCTCTAACATATAAAGAAGGACTCTGGCCCTCATCGAAATAAAGCATCAACGAAATTTGGGTGAAGAAACTGAAGAATAACATGTGTGCACTTCACTTTCCCTGGCATCACATGAGCTTCCTTTTTTAAAGAGAAAAAGACGGTCTGGCCAGACCCAGAATATATAACAAGATCTATTCCAGAGGCATTTTAATTTGACTCTGAATGATATGACTGCAGAATTGGTTCTTCTTTTATATGATCTGAATTTTTTTGGTATAAATGTGA